CTGGGCGCAGGGAGACCTGCACCCGGGCGCATCCGATCTCTTTTGTAGCCGCCCTCTCAACCACTGTGCCGCTTTGTTTATTCATTTTTTGTTTGTTTGCTTGTTTCTTTTAAATTGTAACTCCTCCCTTCCTTCCTCTCCAGGATCCTGCTGGGATTTTTGAGCTGGTGGAAGTGGTTGGGAATGGCACCTATGGACAAGTCTATAAGGTCGGTGTGGGGCGCCTTCTTTGTTTCCCGTGGCATGTTGAAACTTCGTGTTGGGAGACGAAATGAGAGGAAAAAAAGGGTGATAAACACACTGCTGACTGGAGGCCACGCCACTTGGCCAAAGTTAGAAAAGGGGTTTCGCCCCGCAGTCTTTCTGTTTTTAAACTGAGTTTATATTCAGATTGGCCTTAAAAGACCTCATTTCCTGGCTTTTGAGATAAGGAAATAAACTACACTCTTAGGCATGCACTTTTTTTCAATAAAGTGGAAAAACATTTTTCATAAGACAACCTTAATTTTTTTTTCCATTCCCAAATCTGGCTTTCTGAATTTGTGTGTTAATTAAAATTCAATAAAAATAGGCCATATTTAGGATTTTCTTGCACCACTGACTTGGTTGTTCTTGAAGGTGGTCATACTGCTTCCTCATTTGAAAGCTTGCCAGATGCTCAAGGTGTAGACTTGGATACTAACAGGGACATCATTATAACTCTTGTCTGTCATACAATATACTGATGGATGCACATTTTGGGGAAGTAGAGAGGGGTGTGTGTGTGTTGGCAATAGGAGCAGGAAGAATTGCAGTGTGAAGATTTTAAAATCTGAATTCCAAGAATAACCTGTTTGACAGGTGTTTAATTGAAACAGAAATGAGAAAGAAGAGTAAGGAGGATGCTCTGGTTTCACACCCTTTCTAGGTCTTTTCTCGTTTTTTAAAAAAGTCATCTCCCCCTCCCCCCCATGAAATGAACAAATCTGGAGACTGTATGAGTCTGCTATGAGTAGCTGGTAGTGTCATTCATTTAATCTAGTGTGCATTCTATGGTTATGCAAGCATTGTAGGTAATCTATGAGCAAGACCGAAAATTTCCAACAGTATAGAGTCTTCCTGCCCTGTTTGTTTTCTAAAGATTTTATGAAAGTTATCTGAATGGGATGAGTTTTGCAAAGTAGGGCTAGAAAACAGGCTTATGAAGCAAGGCTTTCTGGTTCACTGTGAAGAATTGTCATTGTCTCATTAAAATAGGGGAAAGGAGGCTGGGAGAGTTTGGAAGCTGAACATTCTTTGGCTCCAGCAAGTGTAGTGGATCTTACGATCTCTGTTTTTGCTTTATAAAAGGGTTTACCTATCACTTGAACACTTCTCCCCAGCTCCAGCTTGTCCTGGCTTGGGCAGTATACAAGTCTGGGGTCTGAACTTGAGTCAGTATTTTTAGGTGATCTCTAGTGAGTTAGCATGTGTTTTGTTGGTTAACTGTTGGGGTTGGGGCCAGGTTTTTGAATTTGAAAGGGAGCCCTGTTAACTCAGGCTGCTGGCTCAACTGAATCTGGAAGTGTTAGGAAAATTTTGGAAAAGATTGTGTTGCAACTCACAGAGTGGCCTGGTAACCGGCTTAAAGACTTTCTCTCGAGCCCCAGTGTTTGTTTAAGCAACAGTTTTTTTCTTCTAACCTACTTTTCCTGGCCAAATCTAAGTGGTGAGTGTACTCCTCTCCTCCGAAGTGAGTTAGCCAAAGCTTGTTTTTGACCTGGTTTCACAGTAGTTGGATTGTTTGTGTCTTATTCGGTCAGTATCTATGTGAAGTGCAATGAAATAAGCTGAAGGAATCAAGTTTTTAAACTATAAGAGAAAAGAGTGAACTTGAGATGATTAGTAAGTTGTTTAGAGGTTGAAGCTCTTTATGATAATAGTTTACAGTTTCTTTGTTAGGTCCCCCCCTCCTCATTTCCTCTTCTCAACCCCCCTACCCCCACACATAGTGCTAAGGCTTTTGAAGTAGCTTTACTGAGCATTACTACATTGGGAAGTGTTTAGGCTATCCAAAATGGCACAACTTTTTGACTACAAAGTCTTTGTATAGTTGAAGGGAGATTTTTGTCATTATGCAAACCTAAGAATGAACAAATCTATGCAATAGTGGTGTACAATTCAGAGCAAAATATTGCTTGCAATTTTGCTCACAAGTAGTTACATTTTTGAAATTATTATTGAAATTTAAAATCATGCACAGATAGAATAAAGCACCTAATTGAACAGTTATCAGCACATGATTAATCTTGTTTCATCTCTATTTCTCTTCTCTGGTATCTCAATGTAAATTCCTAGATACCATGTCATTTCATCCATATACATACTTCAGTATGTCCTTTTAAAAAAACTTATTCACACATGAAAAATTAATTCTTTAATACCAGGTATCCATGTTAACATTTTGCTGGGTATCTCATACATGTTTTCTTAACTGTCACAAGATAACATTTAATGTTTGCAAACTGATACTGGAAAGTTCAAGAGTGATTGTGAAAATAGACAAGTAACATCTGTTTTAAATGTTAATGTTCTAGAACCATTTACTTTAACACCTTGGGTTTTGTTTTAGATTTTTATTGACTTACTTTGCATACAGTGGTTTTGAGAATTAGGTTATTAATGGTCTAGTGTTTGTTTATTACTGCTTAACATCCATTAGTATGAATAGATAGCATATTGTTATTTATAAAGAAGTTTATTTATGTAATTTCACTTAAACAAAGCACCTGTAAGTTGAAAAATTTCTTGTTGTTAAGTGCCATTGAGTGGGTTCTGACTCATGGCAATCTGTATAGGGTTTCTGAGGAGCAGCTGATAGCTTTGAACCGTTGACCCTGCGGCTCAAACTGGCCTTGCAGCCCAGCACTTTATCCTGCAGCGCTACACCAGGACTCTTGTAGTCTTAAGCTATATTCCTCTCTTAAGAAAAACATTTTTAAAATAAACTTAAGTGCTGTTAAGTTGGTTCCCACTCATAGCCACTTTGTATAGGATTTCTAAGGAGTGACTGGTGGGTTTGAACTGCCAACCTTTTGGTTAGCAGTCCACTGCTTATCTGATGTTGTTAAGTGCTTTCGAGTCCTTTCCAGCCAATAGCTACCCTGTATAGGGTTTTCAAGGAGCCGCTGGTGCATTTGAACCACCAAACTTTGTGGTTCAAACAGACTTTGCAATCCAGTGTATTAACCAACAGTGCCACACCAGGCTCTGCTTATCTGATAGATGTTATTTATGTGAAGTGACTAAATGGAAAGTGAATTTTCTGAGTTCAGATAAAGGCTTTTTTTGTGTTTGGATAGTTTCTACTTTCTTATGCCTGACAAAATGGTAAATGGTTTGATTATGGTTGAATAGTGTATAACTTTTTTGTAGAAAAAAAGTTGAAAAAAAACTTTTTTTGTGTGTTTAGAGAAATTTATTTTTAGCTTTAGGTTTTTGAGGGATCATAGGAAGCATACTCAAATGAAAACTTTTTTAAAACGTTCATTTTTGTTTTAATGAACAAAAAAGAAGCGTCCATAGAATGCTTTTGTGCATGCTTATTTGTTGATTTCTCAGGTTGAATAAATACAGTGAACTTTTTAAAACTATTTTCATCAAAAGTGGACAGTGATAGTGTAAGAAATCAAAACAAGAATAATAGATCAATGTTTATTTTTGTTTATTGTTAGTTTTAGTATTTAACTTTTTTTTTTTTTTTTTGCCCCTTGGTGTAGCTGTACTGTTATTTTGTATTTTGTGAGCATACAATGGCAGGTGCTCCTACATCGCTTGAATAGAAGACAGCCAACTTAAGAAGGAAAATAATGCCTCTTGAAAGGCACTGTTGGGGAGTCAGAGGGCCTCAACAGTGCTGTGGGCCTCTGGGACCTCAGGGAGTTTACCACATAGCAGGCAACGTGGCAGGATCCTGTCTGGGATTACTTGCTGGAGGAGTGTTATACTTAATGGAGGCGTGGGCGTCTCAGACCCTGTCCTTGGAGAAATGGGAGGATGTAGGTGTAAGAGGAAGGCGCTCTGATAGCACAGTGGTTACAGTTGGCCTGATAACCTCCAGGTCAGCAGTTCGAAACTACTAGCTATTCCACAGGAGAAAGATGAGGTTTTCTGCCCCTGAAGATTTATAGCCTTGGAAATCCTACACAGGGTCGCTATGAGTTGGAAACTACTTCACAGCACACCACTATACCACCACCAGGTGTAAGAGATTGATGCAGAGGGTTGTTGTTGTTGTCAAGTGCCGTCGAGTCAGTTCCGAACCATAGCGACTGGTGAGCTTGAACCACCGACCTTGTAGTTCAAATGGCTTTGCAGTCCGGTGCACTAACCCACAGCGCCACACCAGGACTCTGAAGTGGAGACTACTCCAGGCTAAAATAACTGCATGGTAAAGGACAGCTAAAGGAGCCCTGGTGTTGTCGTGGGGTAGACACTGCAAGGTGGGTGCTTCAAACTCAGCCAGCTGCTCCGAGGAGAAAGATGAGACTGTCTGCTCCGGTAAAGATTTACAGTCTTGGAAACTCAGTGGTTTGGTAGGGAGGGCTAACATTGAGAGTATGCCATTTGATAGGCATGGTGCTAAATGCTGAATCCCCTCGCTTACTAAAGAAAGGTTGAGGGGTAGCTGGCGAAAGGGCTGAAGGTGGCCTGTGGGAATGACATGAAGTTCCGAAAGTATTGGGAATTTCACCTAAAGAGAGATGCTTGGGCCTGTGCTGATGGAGGCAGCTCATTCTTACACAGCGAGGAGCCACTGGAAGTTTTATTATGATTAAGGATCTTTGGGAGTAGCCTGTGGTTTTGGAAGGATTGGGTAACATGGTTGGCAATTGTCAGAGGACCAGAAGACAGAAGAAGTCTGAGATGAGTAGTGACAATGGAGGAGAGAGGAGAGGTGGATTTGGAAGGACACATGAGGAGTGTGTTTTCTTGAGCCATTCTCCTTGCTGGGTTTAATCTGCTAAATTCACTCTCTCTCTCTCTCTCTCTCTCTCTCTGCAGGCTTTGTTACAACCTTTTAAATGGGTACACTGTTTGCTCAGTATATTGGGAGGCACTTAGGGATGAACAGGGAGAAAAAAGTGTTGAAATTACTTTCACTTGCTCAGAGATAGAATGCCATATAAATTGTCTGTCTTTCAGAAATTGGTGTCTAACATTTTGGAGTAAGCACTTAAACTTGTGTGAT